TAAAACTACACTCAGACTTGAACAATAGAACTTGTAAAGGATTTAATTGACAAAGTAGTCTCCACACCCTGACAAGACGAGACAAAACACTCACAATGTCTTTTTTTCATAAGGGAAATAATAACAGCTATTGGCACTGGACAACATTACGTCTCTGCTGACGACAGAGAACATTCATGTTACTTTCTGCATTTTTGTGTTCTTTCTTCAGCTTTAAGCTAAGTTTGAAATTAAGTGAACAGAGTAAATTTTAAATCTGTACTCAAGCCAAGTGCCTCCCCCTCCCCCCTCCCCAGCTTATCCTGGTTTCCTTATCGTGAAGTGACTAGGAGTATTAGCACTCCTCCCTGGATAGGATGCCAGTCCATCACATTTCAACAGGTTTCCCAGACAATTCGCTAGGTACCCATGTATGCATTCTCCTGGGTGAAGAGAGGCACTGTGAGAGTAAAGAGTTTTGCTTAAGGACACAACACCCTGACCTGACCAGATCTCATACCCAGACCTTTTGACCCAGAGTCCAATGCACTGACCATTGGGCTACTGTGTCTCCCACAAATGCACAGGAGTATAAGTCTGAAAATGTCAAAATCCAGTCACCTTGAAGGTGTTTCTAAATTACTTTACAAGAAAAGTATTACACTTACTCTAAAATGTTCTTAATCAGTTCACTTTTTTCATTGTTATTCAAGGCTGAAGTTGAGGCTCAGCTCAAGGAGAGAGAAACAGTGTTAGCTGCCAAGATTGGAAATCTGCAACCAAGATACCATGATAAATTAATGATTCATACATTTTTAATTCTGTAAATAAAGAAATGGCTAATTTGTAAATAAGGTTTCTGAATCAGTTATAAATCAATGAACTGTTGGTTAGGAGCTAAATACAGCTGCCTTTATAGACATAAATCACTCAACAACTCAACAAAGAATGTTACAAACATGCCCAACATTGTGTGTAAACTTTGCTCCTAGACATTGAAGTGCCTAGGAAACTTATTTTTTTTTCTATTCTACATCAAAATATAATGACTCTTTAACATGTTTTCACAACATTTGTGGTATTTTGCCCTTTTCTGAATTTTTTATGAAGCTCTATAATCTGCAGATAAAATGTCTGGCCGAGCAAAGAGGGACTGGGCACCATGACATCACAGTAGGAATCTTGTGGAGAGAAATATTCTTCATCAAGTCAGGGATATTCGAAAAACCCCAAACTACACATTGAAATGGCATTTTTTGGCTAAAAAGATTGTAAACAGTAGCTTCCACACTCACTTTGCTTCTTTGCTAAACTTGGTGTTACTAGCATTACGTCACGGGTTCCAGTACTCTCCAATGCGGCAAAAGAGATACAGGGAGCCTAAGTTTGATACAATTTTGGACTTTTATCACCTCGTAAAATAATAAAGACACATCAGAATCACCCACAAATCTTTCCAGAAACCCTCTACATACTTCTATTTTTATAATTTAATGCACTTTAAATAAACTTGAATTCAACAAAACGCTGAGAAAAAATGTTCTATGTAAACATGGCACCTACAAATAAACATGACAGGGTTAAGTCCAAGAAGCTCCATAAAAAATATATAATAACACATATCCCGCATACAAGTCATATCTAACTCTCCAGGAGCTACCATGGTACCACATGGTAATGAATCTATGACATGGCAGGTGCAGTTTCTCTTCTGCTGAAAGTTCCTGTCAAGTTAGCCAGGAGGTTTCAAAACTTTCAAGGTTGTTTCTCTGTTCCATCCTCATTAAGACAAACCTTTTAGAGCTCAAAATGAAAAGAAAATATACCAAATAATATTCATAGACAGGTAAAAACGAGCGATATAATATCCCAACATTTCGGAGACTTCATGACGCCATTATCAAGGGTACAAATAAAAATAATATTAACAAATGTGAGTTATTTGTTAATTTTATTTTCATTTGTACCCTTGATAATGGCGTCATGAAGTCGCCGAAACGTCGGGATATTATATCGCTCATTTTTACCTGTCTATGTATTACTAAATCTTTGTTAATACAAGTAATATTCACTTTAAAAAAAAAAAAACAATAGGCACGTAGCTCTTTCAAGTGATGAAATTATTTTGAGTTGACAATACTTAATTCCCAAACTGCACCTAAGCAACTCTTATGCTTCTCTTAAGCTTGTCTCATCCTCTCCAAATTTTCTGCATGCATCCATACATGTAGCTCCACATACAGCCCTGAGCATGGACAAAGTGTTTAAGGGCTGGTTTACATAAGAGACAAAAGCAAAGTTGATGGTGCAGTCAGGCTCAACACTCTGTAGCTACCTATTGTGTAGATCCCTTTTTTTTTTGTGGTGATTTCATAAGCTTACATTTATTTTCTTATTATGGCAAACTAACCCAAAGGATTTCCAAGTGTCTTAGGAAAAGTACCATAATTAAGTGTTTTTTTGTGCACAAGCTACTAACTTTACTGTTGCATTTTACACACAATCACAAAAGAAAAAGTAACAACATCAGAAAATAGAGAAGCTGATCTGATTTTCTGATGTTGAATCTCCAACTCTGCTTTACCTCTTTTTTTTTAATTTTTTTATTTTACACTGGACCTTTCCATTCTGTGTGTTTCAGATCAGTTCTCAACTGACAATAACTTATTGAATATCCTTACCATGGTATTACCTTCTTCAAATGATTTCCATTCTACTGATTGGAATGATGCCAAATTACCTTAGGACTGAAACTACGTAGTACATAATTTATCAATTACAAAAAGACTCTTATCACTGTCATTAATTAATCTTTCATCCTATGGGGAGAATTTCAGTCAGAAAACCTTAACACTCTTTGAAAAATTGAAGACGATTATTTTCAAACTCTGCGACAATGATGTCACCATTCTTGACAATTGCTACACCACATGGATTGTTCAGCTGTCCCCTTTCCTCCCCATAGCAGCCAAACTTTGAAATAAATCTTCCAAGTGTGGTAAAACCTTGCACTCACAGACTAACAGGTGTCCTGCTTTGTCCACAGCTAGTCCTGCTGGCTTTTGAAACTGGCCATTCCCAGATGCCTTTTCACCAAAATCGTATAAACATTTACCAGTTCCATCAAGAACTTTGATGCTATATGGCTTTTGAAATCAGAAACAAATACTCTCTCATCATGATAAATGCAGCCAAATGGAGACTGAAGTCTACATGCTCTTCTGTCAAAAGTTAAGAGAGGGTCCCCTTCAGGAGAAATCGGTTGAACACAACTCTTTCCTGAATTACAGATAATAATGTTTCCTTCAGGATCCAAACATATTCCACGTGGTTCTTCTAGTTGTGTGTGACCAGATTCTGTGCTTTTATCTCTAACCTCTGATTAATTTACCCTGTCAATTGTACAGAAGTATTCTGTTGTTACTTCTGTCCACACCATAAAGCCTTCCTGAAGTGTCAATGCAGATACCATAAGGAGAATGAAGCTGGTCAAATCCAAAGGACCTTAAAAACTCTCCCTTACCACTCGAAACATTTACTCGTCCATTCATTATGTCAGAGACAAAAATCTCATCTGAGGTACTTACAGCAACTCCCCATGGATTACGTAAGTCTGAATAGACTTTTTCTCCAGTTATTTAATGCGGCACTCCTACAGAGAGAACAAAAGGCTGCCTGATTTTTTCTTCATTCACAAAGAAGGAAGCATGCACCTGCCCTGGCAAGTTGCAAAAACATGAAATTATATATTTCCCATTTAACTTATTTTCAATCCCCCAGCATGATTCAGCATAAAACCATCACTTGCAGGAGAAAACCAGACAGAAACCTTGTCACACGGGCTGTAGCACTGTTCTCCAACTTGAATTCCTTGTAACAAGTTCAATCTCTGTCTCTTCATCAACTTCAGCCTCATGTTTTCCAGTGACAGTACATTCTCTTGCTTCTGTTTGACTAAATTTTAGAGTGCCAAGTGCTTTAAATCCAAGATTATCAATGCTCTGAAGACATGAATGATTTGGAATGAAGTCAAAAAAAAAATTCATGGATGAAAAATCGGATGTCAGTTCACCCTTCAATTCCTGAAGGGAATTGCCGATGTGAGATTGTAACTGCACAATTTCTGGGGCAGAACTTCTGTCAATCAAGGGTTCAACCCGTGAGATGGTCTCTTTGTGTTTTGTTAAGGAAATGGAACAAANGATCCCATAAGCGAGAGTCACGGAAAACAGTCAGTACACTCGACGAGTACTTCGATGAATCCAGTGACAGCGATGACGAAAACACCTTCCATCTAAGCATCCACAGTGTTAACGGAAAGAACATGAAGCAGCCGTTGTTCAAGGTCAAGATCAATGGTACCTGGCTGACTCTGATGGCCGATTCAGGATCTAGTATCACCATCCTAGACGAGAAGGACTTCAAATCACTTCAGAATAGACCACGCCTGAGCGACACCACGACTCGAGTATACCCGTACAAGTCCAAAACGCCTCTGCGTATGCTCGGGAAGTTTAAAACAACCGTAACAACTGAAGACGAGATCACATCTCGGGAAACTATTTACGTCGCTGAAGGAGCAGGCGGATCCCTTCTCAGCTGGCAAGCCTCGCAGAACTTAGGACTCATATCGATCACATGTCCACTGGCATCTATATCCAGACCAGAGATCAATCAGCTGGTACAGGAGTATGGCGATTTGTTCAAAGGCCTTGGAAAGTTGAAAGATTACCAAGTATATCTGCACATCGACGACAGCGTCCAGCCCTCAGCACAATCTCACCGACGTGTACCCTTCCATGTCCGGAAGCAACTCGAAGATCAGCTAGAAAGAGACGAGCAGCACGGCGTTATCGAGCGCGTGGATGGACCGACCCCATGGGTTTCGCCCGTCGTTGTAGCACCCAAGCCCAAACAGCCTGGCAAAATCAGAATGTGCGTTGACATGAGACAGGCCAATAGAGCGATCCAACGTGAACGACACATCACACCAACGATCAAAGAAATCATCGCCGACCTGAACGGAGCCACAGTGTTCAGCAAGCTTGACTTAAATCAAGGTTACAATCAACTAGAACTCGCCCCGGAATCTAGATTCATCACAACGTTTAGCACCCATGTTGGACTGAGGCGGTATACGCGCCTAAACTTCGGAATCGTCTGTGCAGCCGAAATATTCCAAAATGCCATCCGCGAAACCTTGAGCGACATACAAGGAGCGCTCAACCTGAGTGATGATATCTTAGTGCATGGAAAGACACAGGAAGATCACGACCGAGCATTGCGAGAAACCTTTCAGCGCCTCCGGGAGAAAGGCCTAACCCTAAATCGCGACAAATGCGAGTTTTCACAGCATAGCCTCGAGTTCTTTGGTTATGTGTTCTCTAGTGAAGGCATCTCTGCTGATCCGAAAAAGGTCCAGGCGATAACCAATCTCCCACCACCAACTAACGTCGCAGAAGTGCGCAGCCTCCTTGGTATGGCCAATTACTGCTCCAGATTCATTCCTGCGTATGCAACGCTAACACAGCCCCTCCGTGAGCTGACCCAAAACAACATGCCTTGGGAGTGGAGCCAAAGGCAAGACCACGCCCTTCAACAGCTCAAGACCGCCCTTATGCAAGCACCTCTAACCGCTTACTTCGACCCCAGCAGGAACACTGAAGTCAGCGTCGATGCAAGCCCCGTTGGGCTTGGGGCAATCCTGGCTCAAACTGACCCCATTACTGGAGACAAACACGTGGTTGCGTATGCAAGCAGATCCTTGACTCCCGTAGAGCAACGCTACAGTCAGACTGAACGTGAAGCTCTTGCTGTCGTATGGGGATGTGAATATTTTCACCTATACGTCTATGGCAAACCGGTAACTGTCATCACAGATCATAAGCCGTTACTTGCGATATACAACAATCCTCGATCAAAACCACCACCACGCATTGAGAGGTGGACAAGGAAACCCGGCTGACTATATGTCCCGACACCCTGAGAAGTCAACGCTTTCCAGCAGTCGACAGCAACGCGTGGCAGAAGAGTTCGTGGACTACATCACACACGCTGCCAAACCCAACGCACTCAAACTAGAGGACATCACGCAGGCAACTATGAAAGATCCAACCCTTCTAGCTGTCATTGACGCTGTGCATACCTGCAACTGGTTTGAGCCGTCTAAGCGACTCGACATAAACCAAAACACGTACAAAGCCCTCGAACGGGTAAAGGAAGAATTGACCATCTGCAGTTCCTCGAGTGTACTCATCAGAGGAACACGGATCATTGTCCCTGAAGCCTTACAACAGACAGTAATTGATCTCGCACACGAAGGTCATCAGGGCATCACGAAAACAAAGTCACTGCTTCGGGAGAAAGTGTGGTTCCCAGGTATCAACGACGCAGTAGAGAAGAAAGTGAAATCCTGTCTTGCATGCCAAGTGACGACCCCAGAAACCAAATGCGAGCCCCTTAACATGTCACCGCTGCCAGAGGGACCATGGCAACAAATTAGTGCAGATTTTAAGGAACTGTCAGGTGGAGGATACTTACTCGTCCTCTACGACGACTATTCCAGATACCCCATTGTAGAGGTCATACCGTCAGTGTCTGCAACAGCCGTCATACCACGTCTCCACAAGGTATTTGCAGAGTTTGGTGTACCGGCGAAAGTGCGCACTGATAATGGCCCGCCGTTCAACGGAAGAGAGTTCCAGTCCTTTGCAAAGAACATGGGATTCGACCATCGAAAGATAACCCCCAAGTGGCCACGTGCCAATGGAGAAGCTGAACGGTTCATGCGCACAGTTAAGAAGACGGTCGAAGCTGCAAACATAGAGCAACGTCCCTGGAAAGAAGAGTTACACGAGATGCTTCGCAACTACAGAGCAACACCGCACTCGTCAACAGGCAAGCCACCAGCCACGGTTTTATTCAACAGGCCCATGCGCGTTAAGATTCCTGACATACCCAGTTCTAAGGAGGACCCAGCATCGATACGACACCGAGACATGTTGGCTAAGGAGAAGATGAAGAGCTATGCTGACCGGAAAGCATATGTGAAGCCAAGCAACCTCATGACTGGAGACAAAGTTCTAGTCAGGCGTGACCCCTCCGGAATTAATTCCAGAACACCTTATCATCCTGAACCCTATGTCGTCACTCAACGCAAGGGTACGATGATTACAGCCGAGGGCCGAAAAAAAAACATCACCCGAAACTCTTCGTTCTTCAAGAAGCTGGAGCCCGACGTCCAGGTCACAGTTGGCGGACCTGTGCATGACAGCCTAACTCCCCCAGCTCTGCGTCTTCTCAATTATTTTAAGACCTTGAGTGTTGGTCTGGCTGGGGCTCAAACCCTCAACCTCCCGCACAATAGTCCAGCACACTATCCATTGGGCTAACTGGGCAGCGGTGCAAAAAGACAGCAACAAACAAACAAAAGCAACAACAACAAACAAATAATTAAATGAATAAATAAATAAACAAACAAAAAGAATGGCAAAATTTGGGCAGGTATTAGGTACAGAATGTAAAAATTTATCAGCCTGGAGAAGACTTGTTTATTTCTGGAGGAGAGGCGGGTCAAAAATTCCAACTTTGTAACTTAATTCTAATGTGTACACTAATGTCTCAGATCAGTGACGTATCTTACATGCAGGCCATCATTAATATCCAATATGCAATGAATAAAAAAAAACAAACAAACCCAGGAAACGGGTGGCTTAAGCGGACAAATATCAGGTTGCATAAAACGATCAGTGAAGCGCTTTTCTTGTCTACTTTATTCACTATTATACTGAAAAACAGTCATAAAATCGGATCAAAAGTCGTCCTTTTATGTCTCTATCAATAATATCTTGTACCAAAAATATCTTAAGAAGAGAATGCTATTGCGTCAATGTCACTTTATCTGAAGCTACAAAAATAAACAAACAAAAAGCACGAAAATCGCATATTAAAAGTACATCCGGTCAGCAGTTTTACTCATCACATTTCCGGTCTACATGTTTGGTCGTAAACAACAATTTCTTCCTTTTTCAATCATGCACCATGGAATGTACGGCTCGATTTTGTCAGACTTAATTCAGAATTGTCGCAGATAATTATGCATTTGCTTAGCTGTGATCTTGGTGCATCTATTAAACTTCCTGAATGGATTGTATTGATGAATTACTTCAATGCTTGACACGACCATGTTTGACCTGTTCAACTGTTCTTTATTCAGGTTGATGCATCATCACCTGTGGTCTAAAAGTAGATGTTCGGTAAAGCTAGCCAGTTAGAGTTGACCTTTCAGCTAGAGCCAATGTGCAAGATTTGGTCAATAAAATAGAGCGAGCAAAATGAGAAGAGACCCATACTATATATATGACAAAAGCATCCTGAAGAAATTTCCAAAAGTTGCAAAGCCGGCAGGCTTTGTTTCAATTTAGATTTCAGCAAATTCGTTGGCCAAAACCTAATCAATCAAATGTAGGATAACAGATAAGATGATAGAAAATACTTCTGAAGCTGATATTCTCTATCCAAAGCCTGTTTGAGTCAAATACTGGAGCCCTCAAAATTTCCAATTTTGCAATTTTTTACAACTTGCCTCGGATGTCTTCAGCACCCATTGCCAAAATATAATTTTTCCCAAATAGATTCTAAGATATTTAGAAACTTCAATATCTATGTAAGCTCTGCTGCTAATTTGTTTTTTTGGAAAAGAGTACTTTTGGAGAAATTCCAAATATGGTTGTGCTTGATTTTCCTGCTTGTCAAAATGGCTGACAGGCAACATACAGCTGTAGTAGGATGAGCATTGTCTTCTTGATTATAAAACTCAAAATACTTTATTGACAAATTTTATAAACCAGAAGAGTACTTCCACCATTCATATGAAATTAATTGAAATTGATTCACATGCACCCGAGAACCAGACTAATCTATTTTTACTTCTTAAGAGTGAATTTTTTGGTCAAAACATAGACCTTAGGTCAATGCAATTAAGTGCAGTTACCATGGCAATGACACACCTGCCAATCCAAATATGGCTGTTTTTGTTTACCCCCCCAGGTAACCTACCTCGACACAAAAAATGAAGGGGGGTTAAAAATTTTAATTTCTGTAGTGACCGCTTCCGGTTGTTGTTTTGTTACCCGTCAATCATGTAATTTCCCAGTTAGTAAGTAAGAGAGAGCGGAGCTCGGCACGGTTGTAAAAACAAACTTAGAGTTCAACAATTAAACCGTTTCGTAAAGTAACACTCTAGCGTGCAGTCAATACACTACAATTTCCAACTTTGCTTCACTTTCTCGGAGAATTGCTCTTAAAGGTTTAAAAAGACTTCTATGGAAAGTTAATTGTCAAAGCCTAGGTTCAAGTCAATAAAGTTACATGCAGTTGACCACAAAGATACCTTGCAAGTTCAGTCAATGCAGCAGTCGAGCCCTCACTTGCTGATAAAAGGGTCAAAAATGAGTCGATCTCAATCTGATCACGCTGGTAACACCTAGAAAAAAGAAAGGAAAGAGATGGTTTGAAAAGCTTGAACAGGGGGTTCTCAAAGACACGGGGAGTGGGAGGGGGTCTTCTAAGAGATCTTAATGCAGATGTAAAGCATCATTTTCTAAATCCTGGTTCAATTTCAAATGCACATGCAGATGCCAATTATTTTCCACACCTGTTTTTAGACCTGATGAATAAAGGCTGATAGTTTCTAAAGAAACTGTTTGGGGCTGCGTCGGTGGGGGTAACCAAATAATTTGGATATATCAACAAAGTTGAAATGGTAAATTGGCCACCGTAATGATTACTAAAGCTGACATTTCGAGCGTTGGCCCTTCGTCGGAGCGAATGGAGTTTTTAGACCTCACTGGCATACTGATAAAAAGCATAATGATTTTGGAAGTCATGCAATGCAGCTACCTAGTTCTCCTTTGGAAAGTGAAATAAAATAATGTTTCTGACAATTTCCATTCAAACTAAGTTGGTAAGGAATTAGAGTATTATACGATGCATGCAGTGGGTTAATACTACACTAATGTGGAAGGAATCTCTGTTCACTTACACTCCAATGCAATATTGGCTTTTTTTCTCAAAGAGAGAAAATTTGCTCACCTGATGTAGTTTATTTTGTATCCTATACACTATAAAATTAATTCATCCTGAAAACAAGATGTACAATATGGTGCTGCTTACCTCTCCACTTATTGCGTTGTGATTGATTTTACATTTAGGATGAAATGTGATCAGAATAAAAAATCCTTTCTTATTTCAATAGGTAATATTGTAATAAGCTCAGTGATCTCTAGTGAGTTTTTAATTAATATCACTCTAAGAATGAAAATTATAGCTGATATGAACTATACCTACTTTATCACTTCTGGTTCCATTGCAACACCTTCCTTTCTGCGACACTGTGTTACTTCAACAATATCCCCAACTTTAAGATCATATCCTCTTTGAGATTCATTCTTAACATCAATGACATGCTCAGTCAATGCTGTATGGCCATCTTGAGCTTTGCAATTTTCTTTTATCAGCACAGATGCCTTATAATGATGTGCACTGTATGTACATTTCCGTACCACAACACCGCAAAGCTTTAAATTTTCCTTCAACAAATCAATCAGGGCTGGCCTTTCTGACTCACCAAACTCAGAAAAACTATCATTCTTTTCTGCTTCCTTGACAAACTGTTTGAGTTGTTCGACAAACACCTCTGGTGTTCTTTTTGTCACTGTTGAACCCGCTGATTTCTGATTTTCATCCTGTAACTTCTGATTTTCAATGAAATTTTCTAGCAGCCTTTTGTGGTATTTGTATGTGGGGTGTTCCTTAGACAGTCTATATCCACTTTTTTCCCAGCCAGCTGGTACTGCCACATGACTGAGATATTCCACAAGTTTATCCTTATACTTCTTAAATTCAAAAAAATCACTTTTTGAACAAAATCTAGACACTAAACTGTCAATATCTCCATCTTGTTCGGTAGCCATTATTGAAAATGATCCTTTTCATTCGAGACGATTTAAATTATGTATGCTCAAGCATATTCTTGGGGTGGGGTGGGTCTTTTCTAAAGTATTCATAATAGATTTCAGGCTTCTTAAGGGAGTCATGCATGGAAGATTAATTTCGTTTCCTGCAAATACAAGACTATAAGCTTCTTCGTGTCAACTGAAATGAAAGGAATTCATTTTGCCAAAGCCAAAACATGGCTTGTGTCACAGTCCACTGTCCCTCTCTGCCCTGGATAAACAACGTCACTTCTCTAAGTGATCTTTCCAAGAATCCAAAGGAAACCAGAGGTCATTTTCTGAGAAACATGAGACCCAAAGTCATTGGACAGAGGTTCCATGGAAAACGCAGTTGTTTCCCTTGAAAAATATCGCCATAAAAAGCTGAGTCAGGGCCGAAAGTTGTCAAAAACTGAGCTGTGCGGTGCACGTACATACATCCCACTGCCGCCATTTTGTAAGACGATCACAACTTTTTAATAACCAGGGTAGAGAGGGTGACAGAATTTGCCAGCTGCTGTAAACACGGGGATGGTGAGTACAAATACAAATGAAATTCTTTATTTGAGTCATATTCGTAAGTTAAACTGCATTGTTTTAATTTGTAAGTGTACAGAGCCATTGGATTAGGTACTGAAGGTTAGAATAGATGTATTTACAAGGCGAAAGACTTACCGTGCAAATACCGAATAACATGTCGTGGCATGCATCGTTCACTTTATTCAATCACTCTATCTTCCGAGAGACGATTTTTAAGACTCAGGGAACCAAGGAACCGATTACTGCAGGAACAAATGACCGTTTAGATTTCGCTGGCAAGAAGTATGCCTGCCTCTGTTTGTAGCATATTACTTTTGATAAAAGCAGAGCTTGTGAAAGATAAATTAAAATTTTACATGGAGTAGCGTTACCTCAAACTTCCCGTTTTAGTCGCGTCACGCAAGGCTATTTCAGGAACTACCCAGAGATGAAACCCGAAATAATTAATGGTGATTTGTGCTATAATTAATGAATTCTTAAGCTGTGCCTCATTTTCAGATAAATATGACAAACCGAGATTTTTTAAGACAAACGAAAATTTTTACTATCTTGACCAACCTACATTTGTACTAGTAAACTAGTAAACCCTAAACAGGTTTTGATTTCCTCTATTTTAAAAGATGTCGAATGCACAAAGACCTACAGCTGTGACAAGAGTGATACCAATCCCCAAAGACAAAGTTGGACACGTCATAGGAAGGAGAGGATCAAGAATACGGGAAATAAGAGAGCAAACCGGGGTCCAGATATCCATTAATAAAGAAAATCAAGCGCACTTAAGAGGCACGGTAGAACAATGTCAAAATGCAGAGAAGATAATTGAAGAAATCCTGACGGTAGGAGCTAGTGAGTAAAATGAGGCCGAGTGTCCGTAGCAAAATCAGCGTTAATTGAACAATTGAATCGCTTGGCTGTTCTATATTCTGTACATTGGATGTTTTGGCTTTCAAGTTAAAAGCAAACTTGAATCGAAGGAATATGAGGAATAAAAATCTCTCACAACAAATATCGATACCAACGTGGAGAGGTTTGATTTTAAACTCTGATAGGGCCCTCTTTTTGGCATTTTTCATGATTTACTTTTTTGTAAGTAGATATTTTGATTAAATATTAATGTAATGTTTGTATAGAGTGAGATGGCTATGTTACGTGCACGAATGACCAACAAATGTCCGCTAACAAAGCATAAATGAAAATAGACTCCCGAGTACGATATATGGCACGCAACAAAAATGTAACAACAAGCAGTTACCCATTTTAACTATTATTTAATTAGTTTTACGTTGTTTAATTTACTTAGGTTAAAGATTAAGTTAAGAAGTTCATAAAGCAGGCTTACAATCCTTCATGCCGTGTAAGTGTTCGTCGTCTTGATCAACTTCCAATTCCAACATCCGCCGACTGAAGACCACAGCGCTTGGCTTTCTTGATTTATCGCATTCTTTCCTTGCACACAAACTCTTCTGTAGGACTCCATAGTAAACTCTGTATTCTCTATCTTCTTCCTCTCTCGACTATCGTCTTTTTCATCTCTTTCTTCTCTCCGGACATCGCAAGGTCAAAAGGTCATAGCGTCGTCATATCATAGCTTCCAAAAGTTCAGTCAGAAAGCCACGAGGGTAAGCCCTAGGGCAAATCTTTTTTGTACTTCTCACAAGCCAGCTTTTATACGTTTACTTTAGTTATCTAGAATGTTCTATTACTGTTTATAGCGTATTACAAGTTGTACTATATTTGGAAACTGCTGAGTCACATGAAAGAAGTTTCTGGAATATTACAGATTATAGATAATTCTAGAAAAGTCTGGGATTGCGTGACAGATTCAGTAAAAATAACTCGATCCTCGTAACAGCTATCTTACAACAAGTTTCCTTCGACCTGCTGCTTAACTCTCAATATCCGCCATTGAACTTCATATAATTCCATTTGGCTGCGCTTCATTAGTGTTCTTTATCCTTAGAATCTTTTAGGTCTAAATACGGTTGTTGCTTTGTTCTCTGATCCATAGGGTGCCCATGGCGACGAAAAAGGCGGATATAAGAAGCTCCACCTTGATATACCTGAGAAATTCATGGGTATCGTCATCGGGAAAGGATATGAGACGTTGAACTATATCTCGACTAAGACTGACGTAACTCTAAGAGCTTTTAGGGGCAGCCCTGGCTTGTACTTTAAAGGATCGAGTGAGAACGAAAAGAAAGCGATACGAGAAATAAAGGCCATTGTGGTGAGTGTGCATTAGTCCCTTGGGGTTATAATTCTTTCTTCTGATTGGCTGTCTTGATTATGTTAGTTTTTATTTTAGGACACGATCCAAATGCACTCAGAAGACCATTTTCAAAATGGCAAGCATGATTATCAATCATCAATCTTTTGTGTGCATTTGAAAAGGGGTAACATACTCTTAGCCTCGCGTTTGAGTGAAAATTCTATCTTTATTTTCCACACTTTGTCAAGGCCGTGAAGGTTAATTTACATGAATATAACAGAATAAAAGTGACACTACCGTCCTTTAAAGATGTCTTTCGGCCTCGTAACAAGGGTAATCCCTCTTCGAAATTATCTTTAAACTCAAGGTATGTTCACCTCTCGTACTGCTTGAATTTCTCGGGGAAGAACGAATGAGACATCGCTGAGGATTTTGGCGTAGGAGTGCCTTCGCGACATGGCATTAGTTAATCAGTTCTATTCTTTCCTCTGGGAACTCCAGAACTAAACTGAACTTAATTCATTAAAGAAGGCTTTCGTTAGGAGATACGAGATTCAATGTCCTGACGGCTTTCTTTGTATAGAATATAAGTCTATTCTGATACACCATAGGCACTTAACGGTTTCTTTTTATTTCAGAATCTTGCAATGAAACGTTCACGGTGCGTTGAGCCTCCTGCAAGGTTTGTTTACGTGGACACTGCTCAGCTGGAAGAAAACTACGAGTTTGAGCTACAGAAGCTACAATTAGATCAAGTGGACTCTGGACGGAAGTCCTTCCAATTGAAGCTACTGGAACATCCTCTACAAGAGGTCTGCCCGATTTTGTGCTGATCCTGTGTCAAAAAGACTGTCTAATAAGCTAACTCTTGAATGAAGAAATGATCCATGAACGCCGAATGTTACTGCGTAGAACTCTTAATCATTCAATCTCAGCAACACAGCTTGAACAACACCATTTACTGTATATAAACATGAATAATTTTACACGAGGAGATGGTAACTGACAGTTCCATCCTACCATCTCGCGAGTTCGCCTTCCTACGCTTTAGCCGTAAACCCCCATATGATAAAAAAAAAAAAAAAACGTACAGCCCTAGAACAACCCGCATACAACAAAAATTCTGTATTTCTGCAATATTTTGCTTTTGTCACGCTTAATTTTGTCCTTGGCCAAAACAGGATAAAATGCCTTACACTAAACTTGTTTCTCGACAGGAAACAGCTGATTTTGCTGACACAGACAGTCTTAGTGAAAAGATCCGCGGAGTTTTAGGGCAAATTCACAAAGAGAGGGAGGAAGGGGGTATGGTTAGGATAGACATGTGGAGTCATTTCGGCCACGTTTATATAACCGCGATTGATGAAGGTGAGAAAAGGGGGAGGGGAGGGGGAAGGGCAAGAGAGTTCTGCCTCACCCCTATCTGCTCTTATCCCATTTCTGAGATTAAGTCAAATCATCCCTTTTTTATTTTATTTTCATTTTCTTTTTCACTTTTCATCTTTAGTACATGTCTTTAAATGTGTTGTTAAGGTCACCTGAAGCCTCCAAATTTGTTTTGTTT